TGTGTGTGTGCGTGTGTGTGTGTAAAATATTTTAGCTGGTGCAGTCCTAAAATCCTTATATTTTCTCTATTGCTCATGAAAAATGACTAGTTTCTGACTTGCCTAAAAAAAAAAAAAAAGATGAATTCAGCTTTTTAAGTGGACAGCGAAATTACTTTGATCTTTAAAATGCTAACGATAATGTTATTTGGAATGGCACAATCATTGATATAGAGAATATTCGTCCCTATTGCTCATGAAAAATGATTAGTTTCTGACTTATTTTGATCTTTAAAATGCTAACGATAATGTTATTTGGAATGATACTATCATTGATATAGAGAATATTCATCCCTATTGCTAATGAAAAATGAGTAGTTTTGACTTACTTTGATCTTTAAAATGCTAACGATAATGTTATTTGGAATGACACAATCATTGATATAGAGAATATTCATCCCTATTGCTCATGAAAAATGACTAGTTTCTGATTTACATTGATTTTTTAAATGCTAACGATAATGTTATTTGGAATGGCACAATCATTGATATAGAGAATATTCATCCCTATTGCTCATGAAAAATGATTAGTTTCTTATTTACTTCGATCTTTAAAATGCTAACGATAATGTTATTTGGAATGGCATAATCATTGATATAGCGAACATTTGTCCTGATTTGTAGAAGCTCAACATTTGATAGTCATGTCAATAACAAATATACTAGCAAAATTCGTACATAAAAAAATTATTATTTGAATATTTAATAGTCATTCGAAATATTTTCTTAATCATAATGACCAAAGGTGGGTTGATTATAAAAAATAAAAATGGACATAGTTATCGAGATCAAACGTTTTATCTCTTTTCTATCGGACAAAATTTCTATCATGGATCGATGGTAATAATTATCGAGATCAAATGTGGGTTGATAATAATAATAATAATAATAATAATAGAGCCTAATTCAAGAATAACATTTCTATCATGTCATTTAGGGTGGAACCTCGTCCTATTCTCGTACAGTTCGTCGCGGCATGAGTTGGAAAGGAGGTAGTTTTATTTGATTTAATTCTATGCAAACAATGAAATGGTGGGGTACCCTTCAAAAATACACAAAGGTATTGTAATCTTTCGGAACTTTTTCTATCGAATAGCAAAGCAATGGTAGACCCACGGCGTCTTCGAATGTCATGCATTTGTCCAAAGGAATCTCTAAACATAGATCTCAAATAAGTGTATCACTGTCACGGAGAGCGATGGAGGAAATATTTTGGGACAGTAAACTTGGTGATGTGACTAATATATGCATCTTTATTGTGAGGAGGACGAAGAAGAAGCAGTTGAATGAACAGGAGGTGACAGCGCTAGAATTTGTACTAGAGAGAGAGAGAGTCATGGAGGCCACTCACTAGTGGTTAAGAGAATATTCATATATGATAAATTAATCTTAAAAGAGGAATAAAAAGTTTTACCTTGTGAAAGATTACATACCATGAGTCATATTATATATATAATTTGGCTCATAATCGAGAAGCCTAATCTTTTGAATTTAAAAATAAATAAAATTTTAAGTCAAAATATTAAAAATAAAAGTATTGGTGAACCTTTACGTCGTGGTTGAGGAGTTAACACGGCTCAGTCCGATCCCGAATATATAAGGCCACCCACGCGGAGACTCGGGAAATGAAAGTACATGTCGGGTCGGGTTGAGCTATGAGTCTTATTGCTTACTTCTTCATGGCTAATGCCTATGTATAGGTCGAGGTCGAGAGGAGAATTTCCTGAGTCGACTCTTTCGAAATTTAAGTTAGAATGGAATAGAATAATAAAGAGTTGAGTGTTTGAAAGTTACCCCTTGGTGCTGGCCAGGTGACGAGTTTTTATATATGCACATGGGAGCTAATCGTACCTAGCTTATTAATAAACGTCGACCCTTTAAGCAGTCAGCCCATATCCTTTATGAGGACGTCAGTCGACCTATACGGATCGATGCCTATGGTGTCATCCTAAGCTTTCCGGGATGGTTTCATACCCGATGGTATCGTTTCAAACTTTCCGGGATAGTTTCATACCGGTTGCATGGCCTTGGATAGCTCAAGACTGAGGCATCGCACTGATATGATCCGTCACATCGGCTTTGAAGCTCCACATCAGTGCTATCATGGCTATGGACTATTGCCAAAGGGTATACTACCAAATTATTGTGTCGAGCACGTGATGGGTGTTAGAAATCACTTATGGATGATTTTAAATCAAATCGGTCTATGTTAACATATTTGGAGTCACGCACTAATTCAACCAAAATATTTAAGTTATGGGTTTAATCTGAATTTTTTTTCGGCCCTCGGAAATATTAGATTATTCTATTAATCTATCTATTTTCATCTTGTACAGATAAATATTTTTGACATATTGGTTGCCTTACTCAGTAATTTTTTTTTTCGTTATGGGTCGTTCTATCGTTCATTCAATCAAATGGTATTTTGATTTGCTCTCTTTTTTTTTAAGATCAAATTTTGACAGTCTTGCTTTCATACCATCTAAAAAACTAAAACATGATCAAATTATAGTATCTATAATTTGATTCTTTCAATCATTAAATACTCACAATCTATCTCTTTTCATTTTCCACAAACAAATATTTCCAACAATGAATGGAATGGAAAGCAAACCAAACATTAATGTGTATGCAATAAAATCAGATTAAAAGAATTATTTCGAACTTATCTTGAACTATGGTCACATTTCGGATCATTTGTGGCGATAATCCAACGTCTAATCTCTCTCTCTCTCTCTCTCTCTCTCTCTCTCTCTAGTTTGACCACGCAACTCAAAGAAAGACATAAGAAACAATACACCGATGAGCTTCTTGTGACAATCCAACAAACCGAAGCATGTTTGTGTGGTGAATCGGGCGAAGAGTCTCTTCTTGGGAGTCAAAGCAATGCCACCGTCTACTCGCACGTTGTCCTCCTGCACCAGCAATGCCGCCTTCGATTCCCGGTCGCCTGCGCCAACTATCACCTCTCACATGTAAATTTGGATTGGACCCGTCATCCTATCGCACGTTATGCTTATGGCGGAGAGCGAAATCACAACGCCACCTCTTCGATTGCTATTTTCTTCTTTCTTTTATGTTTTTTACGGTGGGATAAGGAATCGTATTCCGAAGCTAAATTACATGTTGGATGTGTCTATCTTTCGATTGGAAATGCAAGTGGTGATGAGGTGACATTTGCATGTTGGAAATATATTTCTTATGACAAACAAATGCAAACATCAAATGGTTAATCAATTACGTGGATATTCAAACATAATATTAGGTCGTATTTATAATTTTTTCAAGGTTTCTTCCTATATATATATATATATATATATATATATATATATTTCTGTAAAAAAATTATAAAATTAATGCATATTTATAGGGAAAGAATTCACCCTCTACATATGGAGGTGGGACCCAAACAATTGATAGCCACCAAAATTTAAACTCCAAGGAAATATTCTATCTATATTATGAAATATTTTTTTTAGCATAAATTATTTAAAATTTATTAATATAAAAATTTGGTACTGTTTGTTATTATGGTTTCACTTTTCATATTAATTCTAACTTGAGCATTACAGGAATCAAATTAAGTATCTCATTAATTTTGATCTTTTTATAATTAAACTTTTTAATAAACGTGTAAATCATTTTATCAATCATATTCGAGTTCTTATGTGTGGTCTCGTATTAAAGCGAGCTTACGAAGATATTATTTTGAACCATTTAATCACAATGTACTCCTTAAATAAATAAATAAATAATATATATATAACTCTAACCTCAAACATTGATTATTAAGGGCTTTGACTTAAATAATGAATATTTTTTTAATTAAAGAATGACAATAATATAATCTAATTTTCATTATATTCGTCTACGAGACCAACGAATGACCCAAGTATTCTTGTACCTAATCGTACATGGAATTTTTTTTAATGTTCATACAGTTCACCACCTAATTAACAACTATCTCAATCTAACTTAAGCCAGTCGAAATAATTATTTATATAAAAAAGAATAAACAATCTAGAAGGCATCAATCAATTTGATGGATAAGATAGTATAATCTAAGGTTATATGTTGGAATCTCATCTTTATTATTATTTATTTTTTTTAATAAAAAAATATATCATATTTATGAGTATTAATTAATGCGTAAGGTTAAACTTTCGTTATACTATATCACGAGTTTAAATTGGTTTGAATGAAACATCGAACGTTGATTGATGCGCCGAAGGGACGAGTGAGACTTTATTGGTGGGTGAGTTGATGGTTAGAGGCCACATTCAGATGCGTCCAGAGGGAGCAAGTAATGATATTGCACTCCAATATCACGTGGATCAAATTAGTGCACGTCGAATTCATTCCTTCCGTTTCTATTGCGTTTGGTGTGTGTACGCAACAGCAGCAGCAGCAGCACCGATAAGGTGCCGTTTTTGTTGTCTGCCAGTCTTAAAGCTACCGCTAATGACGGTGCTTAGCTCCAAAGCAAGAATTATTCCCCCCCTCCCATCAGTTAATCGAGTGTTTGATTCCAAGAACATTCCACGTGGGCTGCATCTATTCCCTTCCTTTCTACCTGCCCAAACCCATCCTACCGTTAAAGCCACCGCCAACCCCCCAAACTGTGTCTGCTTCGAATTGTTTTTTCCTTTTTCTTTTAATTGTTTTTTTTGGCCCGTCCGTCTCCTTCGCCCACGATGTTGACGGTGGAGCGATAGGATACTAGAGGACATGTGGCGGTGGCCCCCGCAGCGGATGAGCGGCACGTGCAGCATCAGGTATCAATGATTGAGGTTTTGGTTACTACGGTTTAAGAGGTAGAGAAAAGGGTAGAGCACATCTTCCCCGTGAAGCCCATCTCATCCCATCCCATCCCATCCCACACTTGGGTTTCTGAGGCCACCAAATCATGAGAGCTTCCATCCTTCTCTTCCTCCTCGCGGTCACTCTCTTCTCCTCTTCCATTGCCACCGGTGGTGACGTCTTGACTCCCCACCGACCCATCCTCGACGACGGCACGACCCTGATCTCGGCCGGCGGTGCCTTCGAGCTGGGCTTCTTCAGCCCCGTCGGCTCCGACAACCGCTACGTCGGCATATGGTTCCACAAGGTCTCACTGCAAACCGTCATATGGGTCGCCAACCGCCAGCGCCCGGTGGCCGGTCGAACCGGGAGCCTTTCCTTGGCCGCCAACGGAACACTCTTCGTTACCGACAACTCCACCGTCGTCTGGTCCTCCGGCTCGCCCGCCCTCGCCAACCCCGTGGCGCAGCTCCTCGACGACGGTAACCTCGTCGTTATGGAGTCCGGCAGCAGCGGCAAAGACCCCAACAGCTTTGCATGGCAGGGCTTCGACTTCCCCACCGACACGCTCCTCCCGAACATGAAACTGGGTTGGAATCTCACCAGCGGGCTCAACCGCAACCTCACCTCCTGGGCGAGCCTCAGCGATCCTGCAATCGGCAACTACACCATGGGCGTGGACGTGGACGGCGATCCGCAAGGATTCCTATGGTCCAGAGATAGCAAGCAGTGGCGGGCGGGGTCGTGGAACGGGATCCAGTTCAGCGGCATCCCGGATATGAAGACCTACAGCCAGTTCTCCTTCGAGTTCATCATCAGACCCGACGAGGTCTTCTACTCCTTCTTCGTGCACGACGACTCCATCATCTCAAGGTTGACGGTGCTGCCGTCGGGAATCCTGCAGCGGCTGGTTTGGATCGAACACAGCAAGCTATGGAGCGTGTTCTGGTTCGCGCCCAGGGACCAATGCGACTATGTTTCGCCGTGTGGTCCCAACGGCGTCTGCGATTCCAATAACTCGCCCATATGCGAGTGCCTCCATGGTTTCCGGCCCAAGAACCCCACCAACTGGGATCTCAGGGACGGATCGGACGGCTGCGTGAGGGAGACGGCACTGGACTGCCGGAACGGGACCGATGGGTTCAACCAGCTGAGCAACGCCAAGCTCCCGGACACGTCGAGAGCAGTGGTCAACAGGAGCCTGAACCTGCAACAGTGCAGGGATGCGTGTTCGAGGAATTGCTCGTGCACAGGCTATGCCGCTGCCAGCTTCAACTCCAGCGGGATTTGGAATGGCTGCATCATGTGGACGACCCATCTCACCGATCTCAGGGTGTATGTCAGTGGCGGACAGGATCTCTATGTCAGGGTAGCAGCCGCCGATTTAGGTACGTCCTCTTCCGAGCTACATGCTTGAGAGTCGTGATGAGTCTCGCAAGATCTGTCATTCTGGTCCAAAAGGAAATCTTATTTTTGTCAGTCTTCCCACAGATCAATCGGACTCGGAAACAAAACATTCTCACCGGACTCGCGTGTTCGTGATCGTCGTCGCCGTCCTTGCTCCGGCGATTCTACTCGCAGCTTGTGTGGCTTGCTGCGTTGGGAGGAAGAAGATGATAATGACGAGGAGAGGTACAGTATTTACTTCTTCGTTTGTCGTGTTACTACTGATCGGGAACCGATCTTTTACGTGACGTATCTCGCGAACAGCTACGTCCGGTACCAAATCACTGTCGGGGCACCATATCGACGACGGAGCAGAAGGCAAGGACTTGGACCTACCACTGTTTGATTTGGGCACGATCGCGGATGCCACCGACAACTTCTCCATTCATAACAAGCTCGGCGAGGGTGGATACGGTCCGGTGTACAAGGTATGTATGACCTTTGGTTTCACCGTCAACCCGCCACCCGGTTGGTCCTAACACCGGATGTGGGTGATGGCATGCAGGGCAAACTGGAGGAGGAACAAGAAGTGGCCATAAAGAGGCTATCCAAGACGTCGATGCAAGGCCTGGACGAGTTCAAGAACGAGGTGACTGTGATCGCTAAGTTGCAACACCGAAACCTCGTTCGGCTTCTTGGCTGCTGCATTCAAGCAGGGGAAAGGGTGTTGATCTACGAGTACATGCCCAATGGAAGCTTGGACGCCTTCCTATTCGGTGGGTTTCGACATCTTTTCCATTCCAATCGATCAGACTTTGGATTCGGATGTTGTGACACCGCTATCTGATCTCGTGCTCAGATAAAGTTAAAGGTGAATTATTGAACTGGCGAAGCCGGTACACCATCATCGTGGGGATCGCCCGAGGCCTCCTCTACCTCCATGAAGATTCCAGACTAAGGATCATCCACAGGGATCTCAAGGCCAGCAACATTCTTCTCGACAAGGACATGAACCCTAAGATTTCGGACTTCGGCATGGCCAGAATATTTGGAGGGGATGAGACGGAAGTAAATACCATGAGAGTGGTGGGAACATAGTAAGCATCGGCTTTCATCCTCCGTCGTTTGTTTCGCGCGCAAGATATCCATCGATTGATAGTCTCTTCCATCGAATGCAGCGGTTACATGTCGCCCGAATACGCCATGGACGGAATCTTCTCGGTGAAATCTGACGTGTTCAGCTTCGGCGTGCTGGTGCTCGAGATCGTAAGCGGCAAAAAGAACCGCGGCGTTTATTACTCCGGTCGCCACCTAAATCTTCTGGCATACGTAAGTAGAAGAAATTATAATCTTTACATACGATTGATTCCCTTTATGGTGATGATGCCATCGATACTTGCGATTGATCTTAGACGTGGAGTCTCTGGAAAGAAGACAGAGTGCTGGAAATGGTGGACGAATCGATCGGGGAGTCCTTCCCCACGGATGAAGTCTTGAGGTGCATAAAGGTCGGGCTTTTATGTGTTCAAGAGATGCCAGAAGACAGACCGACGATGTCTTCAGTGGCGTTGATGTTGGGGAGCGACAGTGCTCTCCTGCCGCAACCTGCTCACCCAGGTTTTGTGTCCGCCAGGTGCCCGATCGAAATGGATTCATCGATAAGTAAGCAGGAGTCGATGTCCATAAACAACGTATCGGTCACAATGTTCGAAGGTCGGTAGATCAACTAAAACGTAACTATAGTGTTAAGATTATATGGAGGTTGGTTTTTAATTGTAAGGTGTTGTAGAGTGAAGGTCGGTACGTATAACATGTATCGGACACACGAACGTGAGAGGAGGAGCCACCAACATCGATCGATTCAGCCGGAGCTGAAGCGAGATAGATACGACGTGTACGTAGTTGACATGTCTTCGTTTGTAAGATTTATCTGGAACCGACACATAGTTATCGTGTTTGATTAAGATGAACAGTGCCTAAATGTGTTGTGCTGCGCTGTGCTGTACTTGATAATGTCGTGACGACCGAAAGCCATGTCGGAGTCGATGGCACGGACACTCGAAAGAACAAAGCTGCGTCACGTCCGTGCAAGTGCTAAAGGAAAAGTTTCTGGCAACCAAAGTTGGGAGCTGCCACAGGTCACATGCATTCTATGCTGCCACAAGCTCACTTATTTGGAATCTGTCTGTCAACCTTTTTGTAGCCGCTTGGTGTTTGTGTTTGTGTCGTCCGCAGCAGTCATCGGAATCTACATGGAAGGCTGCTATCGGACGGCTCGTTCGCATTGGTCGAAGCGGATAGGAAACTCGTGGCCGGTGGACCGCTGATGACACAGCGCACCCACCGATATGGTAATGTGTAAGTAATGTATCAAAGTGACCGATGGAGGTCGTCATCTCGTGGAAATTCCACAAGTGCGAGCCACGTGGATACATTTCGTGTTCCGTTGGCCCAGGGGAAAGGGAAAGAAGGAAGCTTTCTTTGGACTCTTTCGATTGGAATCGCAATGGATAAAAATGGCTGTAAATTTTAGAAAGGAGAATACGGTGAGTTGGAAGCATCAGTTTGTTTGTTCTCGTACTACATAATTGGCTGTGAATGCTTTATGTGGAATCGTCTGCATGTTACTCATTGCCGGAGCTGCTCCGAGCGCCAGAGAGTGACCGCAGCCTCGGTGGGTTCCGTGAATTATTGGCGTTGCAGAGATCAGAATAGGCCACAAAGGTCAACACTCACCTTCCTCTTCCTCTGATAAGAACTACATCTGGTCCATGTTGCGTGCTGCCTAATACAGGGAAAATTCATCCCCGACACGTGATAATCATGTCATAAAAATAAAAAAAATATCAACGGCATTCAAATAAAAATTTGTTTTTGCTACATAATTTACTTTTTCTAAGATTAGAGTAAGTTTGGGTAACGAAGTTAGACTATTTTATTTTTATTTTTTTATTCTCTAATCTTACATCGGGAGTCAAATTTAGGAGTCCACTCGTAACATCGATCTTCGTATAAAAGGAACACCTCGGGACGAGCACCATCTCGAGAGATTAGGATATTAGGTGAGACCAAACACTTTACACAAATCGAGTTGAATTATTTAGTAGTAAGTTAACCATCAACATCTCATTACATCACTATCTAAGTTGCTTATAATAGATAATCTCACCTCAAATGCAAGCCGAATAATGGTTTACATGTGAACTTGAATAGAAATCTATAGTACTTATAATAGATAAAATCGACGCCCTATTTTAAGCTTGAAGAATAAGATTTCACAAGAGGTATCGATCGAAAAAAAAAATCAAGCATCTCACATTTCAAGGTATTTGTTTGCATGAATTATGCACATGTAACTAATCAAATAAGAATCAAGTTGGAGGACGAGCTCCAAACTCATTTTCATTTTTATGAGGCTAAATTGAAGATCTATAAATTATTTAATCATAATAATTCAAAGATTGTTATAAATAGGGATGTGAAGTTTAATAAAAAATGAAATTAGAAGAAAATTGATAAGGGAAAAAATGACGATGTGACACACCGTGACGTCAACCGACGCCTCATGCCTCGATCGGCACAACTGCACTCGGTTAACCGAGCCGGAACACTGGTCGAGGCGCATTAACACCTAACTCAGGCTTGGTTCTTCAAGCCACGCCAACCCAATGTCAGACGCTCTCAGCCTGCCTCCTGCAGGCAGCCACATCAGGTAACATCAAACTCATCTATAAATACCCAAGAGTTCTAAACAAACAGGCGGGAGACACTCCAAACACTTCTTCTCTTGAAACCCCCTCCACATCTTCCTCTAACTTGATCGTCGGAGGGGTCGGGCCGAGCTCCCGGCCCGACCTGTGTGCAGGTGCGAGACGGTGTCGCCTCTTCCCGGCGCTGCCTCCCGACCCGAATCGCCGACCCAACCTGTCGACCCGACCTCCCGACCCGAACCACTCTTCCCGGCGCTACGGCGGAGCTTTCTCCCGACCCGACCTGCCGACCCGAACCACCGTGCTCGGCCTTCGGGAGACCCCGAGGGACAGAGCCCGAGATCCCCGACATCCGGACCTACGAACCGAGCCGCGACGGCCCCGAGGCCACGGCTTAAACAGATGCCACCCGCATAAAAATAAACTAAGTTTAAAATTACTTTACAATCTTCACCACCATCATTACTAATATCTTTTTATTCTACATAATAATCATTTACAGAAGATAGCTCAAGTTTAAGAGATTTATATAAAATAACATATGAATTATGTAAAATAAGTCTAAGAGATTTATTTGCTTCAAAGATATTCTCCAAAGACATCAATTGTAATGTGTGATAAAAATGAATTAAGTTTCAGGAGTATTAAGAGAATTAAATTAAATTTAAAAATAAGATTAAAATATTTCTCATAATCATACGTGTAAAAACAATTATAATTTCTACAATTTAGTGAGAACGAAGAGATTACATCATGATCAAAATTATCTGGTTATGAAAATAATAAATTGCTAGTAAATTAGATATATTACATAAAAAATATAAATATAGCCTTATGTATGTATATATATATATATATATATATATATATATATATACATCTGTACACCATTAATCATCATGTGGCAACTTACAAACATCCAATCAAAACGGATCAACAAGACGATGTAGATACCGAGTAACCGAATGCCTCTAACAACTTAACTAACCGTACTCACCTTTCTTGAACGAGGTTCACTGTGGCGCTCTTCCAGACCACCTCTCTGGATTCTCCGCCGCCGGTTCCGCTCCTCCGGCCAGAGGTACCCCAATGGCTTGATTTACCGGAATCAGCACGCTGCGCGCTGGTACCTCGTACGACTCCGTCCCCACCCCCGCCGGATGCTCGTATCCACCACCCATGCTGGCCCCTGGTAACATTGGAGGGCCACCCATGTAAACCGGAGCGCCTTGGACCGGGGACGGCTGTCGAAACCACATCGGCATCAGGACTGGGACCGGCTGCGTCGTTATGCCCCTGCCGTGGAACGAAGCCGGCACGAAGAAGACCGGGACCGGCTCGGGAGTATAAGACCACATCGGAACAACATCAGGTGAGGCACCAGTTCTGCCTTGTGTTGCGCGTGATGGGGATATAAAGAGGAATAACCTTTGTATATGAACAAATACTAGATGATCATAATACGCAGCGGAATTAAATAGAAGCACAATCAAACAGAATACCAAGAT